TCTTCAGGTATAGAATAGATGTTGTTCTTGTTTTTTTCTTTAGTAATAAGAAGACAACGAAAATATATGTATTGTTGTATCCGAAAATGCTATTGGAAATGAGTTATCGTTTTTGGAGCGCGCAGTAGCAACGCTGAGTTTGATTTTAAATTTTTAAAAGTTGTGCGTTCATATACAAATATTCGTTCATCACCATATTTGTATATCATCCCATAACACACTTGCTTTGAGATGGACCCCAAAGAAAGTCCTATAACTTTTCTTCATTCATTTGCATTATCACACATATATGCCACTGCATATATAAAATTAACCATTTATATTTTTATCTAATTTTACCAATGTGATGTTTTTATCTCGGTTTCCAAAAGAGCAATTTCATTAGATATTTTGAATATGAAATCTTTGCGTAGATACTTAATATATGTATACCCAGTCAAACATTAAAAGACAAGAAATATTTTCACTGAATTCTGCAGATGTTTTCAGGTAGAACATTACACTGCACAATAAAAGGGTCAACAGTAAAATCCAAATGCTTATGAGTAAAATTCCAATTTCCAAAAATATCAGTTGAAATTTTTTTAGAAAGAAGTTTCTTTTGTATTATGGTGGTTTCCCTTTATTAATCAGTTACATCAATGATCAGAATGATGTTATGATCATGTATCCTGGGACAGTCAAATGATGTTTAAAGTTATGAGCTAGAATAGTGAAATGTTAACTGATTGCATCGGATTTTGAAAATGTCTTCTTATCTATCGGAATTGGATACTATAAGTTGATGATGGAAAATGTCTGGGGATGAAAGAAACCAGTAATAAAAGTAAAAAAAAAGGACAATCAATAATTCAAATACCAAGAGGGAATCCAATAAAAGAAAAGGGACAAGAAAACATAAACAGAAAAAAGTCATCTGTCTAAGATATATATTTGGTAACTAGCAGTATAACCCGATTTCGACCGCTGTTTCATTACTGGGAATTTTTGCCGTTCATTTGAAGCAGTTTAATTTCAAATTCAGCCCACCCAAAAATCAACGTTAGTAACAACAATTGGGTGCAACTGAGGCACATCCCCAAATAGGGTTTAACAGTTTGAAATGGGCGGGCTGAAAATGGCCGTTGTTGCATTCTCAATTTGGAAAGGAAGGAAACCTCATCTATGGACCGCCATAATAATAATATACGATAATTTTTTAATATAATATTTTTTTATATTTCTAATATTTTTTTTGCGTCAGCATTCAACTAAATTGATTGTACGCTGTTTTTTAAAGACATTAAATTTGCCTTTGATTTTTGAGCAAAATGTAAATAACAGTTTTTTTTTTTTCGATTTTCCACCTTCAAGGTTGTAATTTTTTTTACAGATAATTTGAACTCAAAACCGGCACTGAAGAATTAAATATGAAACAAAAAAAATTCATCGAAATCTGATGAAAACAGTGGAAACGCATAAACATCCGATCACAAGCAGCCATACATACACACACATTTTGAGAATTATAGATATAGATGCTTAGCAATCTTATCTTTCTAGATCAATTACAACTGAGTAGTGAGTTTAATTCTCATTCGATGCTCCGTGCCTTCGTCCTTGTCGGACATCGAGCATACGCTAAGGAACTCGATATATATATATATATATATATATATATATATATATATATATATATATATATATAATATACACACACATATATATATACATTGATATATATATATATATATATATATATATAAATACACACACACATATATATACATTGATATATATATATATATATATATATATATATACACACACACATATACATACATTTATAAATATATACATATATATATATATATATATATATATATATATATTAAACACACACACATATATATATATATTTGATGATATATATATATATATATATATATATATATATATATACAAAGGCACACACGCACACACATACACACACACACACATATATATATATTGATCGACCATTGAACATATTCAAATATATATCTGTTTTATTGATGGGATTAATTCTTTTTTTATAATGATTTTTGAAAAGTGATGACAGGCAGATTACCGATAATGGGAGCCAGTTAACGTTAAATCGAAACGTTAACATAACTATCAAGCTAAAACATTTAATTTTACCGGTTGACGTCTAGTGATTAATTTATTGTTACTGCTTTTTATTTCGCCCGCATTAGTTTAATGTTTTGTAAAAAAAATGAAATATACGCTTCTCGACAAAAAATTAAGAGAGACGATACGGAAATTATTGCACGTTTAATTTATTTTTCCTTATATGTGGAGAAATTGATATTTCAGGCGGGGTTAATGTACTTACCTGAAGTGTTAGTTCTTATTGACTAAAAGCTGTTAACTTTTTACTAATTTTTTTTTTTTTTGATATATAGTTACAGAGACTTGTGACTTCTTACCACGTTATCCATGAAATGTTTATAAAGGAAATGATCTTTCCTCTTTTTTTTTTTCGCTCTTCATGTAACTCAATGCAACTCAGACGATTAAGCTACACCGAGAAAGGAAATATTTTTTGCAACTTTAGGTAAGTAATTTTGCTCCTTTCCTCAGTCTGCACCGTCTGTGGACTTTTTTAGTAGGGGGCGGATGGGTGAGATTTTCTCGAGAATATGTGGCAGCAATATTCAAAGCAAAGATGAATGGAAGACTTAGAAATATATAAGATAGATCATGGCAAGAAAAACTGTCTAGGATGACAGTGAATCAATTTTTCTGACTGCAGAACTTAGCAATTTCGTTGGTTTAGGTACAATGTAAAATAAGCATGAAACTGTAAAAACTTGAAGACCTCACTTACTTCAGTTCTGTGCTCTAACCCCTCTGACTGCTGAGCTTTCGTTGTTTATAGTCTTGGGGCAATTTGCCATATTGAAGATGTACTGTACTAGTTTATTTTTGATAATCTCAGATTTAATTTTCATGCTTTGAGTGTTGATATAAAGAGAAAAAAAAGATTGGAAATGACTGAAGCCAAGATAGCAGATCAGGACTAATAGCATTGCAGATTCTTTGGATTTTATCAAAATATTTCAATATTTAGTAGGAGCACCAGAGTATATTGTGGAAAAATTAATGGTTCAGGTAAGGGAAGATGTAATGAAGGTTGTCGCTACTTGTTGACTAAAAGCTGTTACATTTTTACTAATTCTTTTTAAATAGTTACAGGGTTTTGTGACTTGTTACCACGTGATCCTTGAAGTGGTCATAAAGGAAATGTATTTTTTCCCTCCTTTTGATCGCTCTTCTTATAACTCAATGCAAGTTATCAGACGATTGAACTACGTCGTTGAAGGAATTTTTTTTCGCAACATAAGGTAAGTACTTTCGCTCCTTTCCTCGGACTTCACTGTCTCTGGACTTTTGGGGGTTGAGATTTTCTTGACATATATGGATGATCGTGGTTCTCCGGAACTTCTTGTCGTTTTAGCTATTAGTAAGGCTTTTTTTTCTGCTTTTCCTAACCCTCGTTTTGTCAGCAATTTATACAAGCTCGGTATGTAGTTTATTCGTCGATTTCTTTTGTCTCTCGTCTCCTGCGAGTGTCATATTTTTTCAATCCTGATTCCTCATAATGTCTAAGACAAATATCAACAGTCTCTTTTTAGTGATTTTTAAGTAGAAGAGTCATTTTTCTAATTCCATTTTACTTAAAACTTATTGTTATTCACATCGTAAATCTATGGTATTCTCAACATCTTTTTGCATAAGATTCTATTTTACTGATTTTTTTTCTTCAACTTCTATTTTCACTGCCATAAAGACGAGAATATACAATGTTTCAAAAAATTTGATATCCTTTTAGATGTAAATATCAAATCTAAATGAGAATCAGGTGTTTCAAAAGTGAATCAAAAAAATTAAAAAGTATTAATGTTGAAAAGATCATTTTATTCTTCCAAATCTGAATGAGAAATTCAAAAGCATGTGGATTATGTGAACGATTTCACCAATGTTCAATATGCGCACCGCCTGAGACACGGCCTTTTTCACCTGTAAAGAAAAAGATTAAAGATTAAACAACATAAAAATATCTTAAGAAAAACACAAAAACATAAAATATAAAACAAACATTAAACATAAAGGATGGTATTAAAATTTTCACGTAGCATTTGAAAAAGATCTAACAAAGTTATTAGATTGGTGAAATGATATCAAATTTTTGAAACACGCTGTCTTTATATAATATAATATATCCATAAATATATAAATATAATATATATAAACATAAATATAATATATAATAATATAAAATATTTGAAGGAATATAATAAAATATATTGTAATATAATATATAATTTTTAAACACCCTATATAATATAATATATAATAATATAATATATATAATGATAATATATAATATATATATATAATAAATATAATATATAATCCTTTAATATATAATATAATACATATAATATAATATATATTAAAATATAACTATATATAATCAAAATTTGGAACATCATTACTAACAGTAGTATTAGCTGTTTTTGCATCTTCGTGAAACATTTGACATTCACTGAACGAGCAGCCAAATTGATGTTTGAAATTTTCTTCCAAATTCTTCCTCTTAAAATCAATTTTTCAGGAAAATATACTTCTTAATTGCAGTATCTGTTTATAAACGATTTCTGTTATGTTTCTTTTTTCCTAATATTTTGATTTTCAGTAATGTGGAATAACTAGGATCTTGATTATGTCAATTATTTTCTATATTTTTGCTATCCATTTTAGTTTAATGGTTTTTGATAAGGTCTGTGATTTGGTATCGTTCTTTGTTTCTTTTGTATCGTAACAAATCCACGATGTTAAAATTAAGAATGGGTCTACACAGTTATACCCAATGGGGCTTCATAGCTCAAAGCCATTTCTAATCTTTGATCTTAGAAAGTTATTTATATACAGCTGACAGTTTAGATATTTCAGAACGGGTTCGGTGCCATGCATTACGTCCATATGATAGCATAGCTAGATAGATAGAATAGATAACGAAGAAACAAGTGTAAATAGATAGATTTCATAGATAGATAGATAGATCGATAAATAGATAGATAACGAAGAAACAAAGTGAGATAGATAGATAGATAGATAGAATAGATAAATAGATAGATAGATATGAATAATGTTTCTGACGCCATGCATGACATCCATATGATAGAATTTCTAAATAACGAAGAAAACAAATTTAAATAGATAATAGATAGATAGATAGATAGATAGATAATATATAGATAGATATTTAGATAACACAATGAAACAAATGTATAATAGATAGATAGATAGATAGATAGATAGATAGAAAAATAGATAGATAGATAATAGGGTTTGGCGCCAATAACCATCTATATAAAAGTCTTGATTAGACGAGGCTATTTGTTAACATGAAAGGAAACGTAGAATATGGAGCACAGACAAATACAAGAAAAGAAAGCTGTCAAGTTGATATCCGCCTTCCCAGTGGAACATTATGCCCATGGACGCGGGGGAAATAGATAGATAGATAGATAGATAGATAGATAGATCCCATAACGTTGATCATAGATAGAATAACAACGCTAAGATGATTTTTTTATATTTTGGCTTTAGTTATTAAAAAATTAAGCTATGTGCCATTTAACACGTTAAAGATTTCTTAGGATAAACCAAATAAAACTGGACCATTGTATGGCCAATCGAATCTTGTTTCAGATATGGACCCCCCCCGTGATAAAAAATCTTCGCTGTCACGAAATGACAGAGTTCTAAGAATGAAATTACCATACTTTTATTATTATTCGCCTCGAGATCTCTGTCTTCAGTTTTCTGTGATTGTCTGGCATCTCAAAAAAGCCATTATGAGAGGGGAAATAGGATGTCTCCCAGAAACTATTAGGACACCAACAAACCGCGGTATTTGCATAAAGTCGCCTTTTCGGAACTGGTTTAGCCAACACCTGAGATCATAATTGGAATGGCATCAACACCAGATTCTTTCCAGGTGTTAATCATCTTGATTGTTTTCTTGATTTCCTCTAATGCTTGTATAAAAGAGCCAATTTCATTTATGATGTCAAGCTGAGACAGTTCGTTAAAAATAATATCATCATTGTATACAGATGGATTGTAAAAAAAAAATATAATTATTTCGGGTTTTTTGACATCATCAGCAACTTCAAGATATCTTTAGATTTAGGTGGTGCAACTGAACAAGATTTTTCACCAGAATATCATTATTTGAACCTAAAATGAAAGCCTACCAGAAATACCTGCAGGTTATTCATGCGAGTTTTTTGGAACATTTGAAAGTGTTTGCAGAATTTAAACATCACATACAGGCAAAAATTTCCAACATAGGTAACTCAGACAAACTTTGTTTTAAATATGGTCGAGGTTGTAAAATTTAAACATCACATGTTTGAGGCATCATCTTTCCAGGTAATGAACAAAAAGTGTTTACCACGTGTATAAGAGGTTGTAAAAAGAAGCTCATCATTTCTGATGTTGATGAATTTCCAGAACAGTAGGATTAGATCGGGTATAAATGATGGAATTGACGGTTCTGAATGATAAACACACGGAAGAAGTACCAAACAAGAATTGTATTATTTTGAAAAAAAATGACAATCATTATATTCATAGAATTTTCTTGCTTGCCTAGAAGTCTCAAGGATCCCCCCTTTTTTTCTTTAGTAAATGTTTTTTGGTTTTCTTGTTTGCGTATGCATTACATTGTTTAGGGAAATCACAATCATGATAGTCGAGGATTTCTTATTATAAAAATATATACATTTATGTCTATAAATTTTATTGATCATTTTTACTAAACGAAAAGCGTTTGCCAAATTTATTTTTTAAAATAGAAATTCAGTTTAAATTGGGTCCAAAATTTTGGACTTAAATGAAACTCCTCAATAGGGTTGTGTGTAAAAAAGAGAAGAAAAAAAATCAAATCTATTGTAACAAGTGAATTGTTTTTAATAATTTGGTCCAATGTATAATTTTTAGTATTTTATACATCAACAGTCACGTTTGCAAAACATTATTCCTCATACTAGAAAAATGTTATAATACAAAATACAAGAACGATTGCTGAGTAAAATTCAAAACGATATATATATATATATATATATATATATATATATTATTAAAAATTGTAATAAATAACAGTTAATTTTCGTTTTTAAACGCAGAATCTTTTTCCCGTCCTGGAAGATACTTATAAGGGAGACCGCAACAACCGTATCAATAGCAAATGAAAAATCTAATTAAGTTCTGATTGTCAAAAACGTCAGATGAATTGCACGGCAAATAAAAGTGGCAACTATAATTTGCAAATGAGTTGGTTATATACGTATTCTCATTTCTGTAATGAAATTTGTTTTGTCGCAAATGAAACTCGAAAAATTTTTTTTTCACGACAATGTTAATTATGTCCTTTTCCGAGAGGTATTATCACACAGAACTATATATGCATTTCTATCTATCTATCTATCTATCTATCTATCTATCTATAACTATATATATATATATATATATATATATATATATATATATATTTGTATCTATCTCCTTGTAAAAAATAAATACGCAAATGCTAATATCTTTTGTACTCAAAGTACAGTGTCGACATAGACATATAGATAGACTTAAAATGGACATATATATATATATATATATATATATATATATATATATATATATATATATATATATATTCTATCTATGAGGTATTATATATATTATTTACATTATTCGGACTATTGTTGGACATCTTTGTCGCCATATTTATCAAACGTTTCGGCCGTTGTCAACCACCGGCCTTCTTCAGGTGGTTGGACTGTCCTCAAGGACACATGGCATTTTGGATAAATGTTATTAAATCCACTGACCAGACAAAAAAAGTCACAGTTCAATATCCGGTTAAGGCAGTGGAGAAATTTTCAAACTATAAATTAATATATAGATAACTATAACTGACATCCATCAAATATATATATATTATGGCATGTGGAACTAGAACAGTTCATTACCCAGTGAGCGAAATAAATTCAAGTTTGACATTCCAACCATCTGAAGAAGGCCGGAGCGTTGTGATAAATATGGCGACAAAGATGAGGACAATCGTAAAGAATAATGTAAATAATATGTATGTCGTATGTATGTATGTATGTATGTATGTGAACAATGTGGTTAGAATGTTCTTGTTTTGACTAAGAAGCTCAGGTTTGAATCTGACCATTTTAAACTTAATTGATGTTATCGGACTGTATTGGTAGATCCCATTTTGCTGCACTTTGAAAAAATATGACCGAAAACCATATCACCCTTGGGTTTGACCCAAGTCTTGTAAGTGAAATTGGGTAGAAAGAACCCTTATAGTTTTTGCTAGCTGTGTTAAACGAAGTCAATTTTCAGTCATCGTGGCAGAGGGCTTTAGCGTCTTGGCCTTCTTCAAAGTGATAACACGCTCTTTCCCAGAAGCTGTAACTAAGGTCTGCTCAGCATAGTTGTAGCATAAACCACAGGTGGGCTCTGTGTGTGAATAAACACAAATGCGCCTGAGTAAGCGTCTGCAATAGGGATTGGATAACGGCTCTAGTAGACGGGTATCCTTCAATACAGTGTCCATATATATATATATATATATATATATACGTTGAGATCTTTATATATATATATATATATATATATATATATATGTGTGTGTGTGTGTGTGTGTGTGTGTGTGTGTGTGTGTGTGTAATAATAAAAAGTACCAAACACTAATATTCCATGGTTATTATATTATAACCGTAATCACCATCCAATTAATCAGACCTAAAAATTCAAAAAGAAATTATTATATTTTATACTTACTATTGTCCAATATATATATATATATTAATATTGGACGAAACAACAATGATAGTCCGCCCTTGCTGCATAAACAAATTTTTCAAAACGATAACGACAAACTCAGTATATAAAAGGAACTTAATTTTCAATAGACGCGTGGTCATGTGTGATGTCTCGAGCTGCGACGCTATTTTCGCTTCCGCGTCTCGTATATACGAGTTTGTCGTTATATACATTTTGTGTTCAGCAAGGGTGTGACTATCATTGTTGTTTGTGTCCGTGTGTTGTTTAATTTATTAAAAAATTGTCATCTTTGATAATGGCTTTAGTGTAAATGTTGAAAGAAATTAGATTGGATTTAAACATGTATCAATATGGTATTTTTTGCTTTCGTCTTTCAATAATAATGTTATTAAAATCAGACAATATGAAAGGAACTTAAAGAAAATAAATAAAAAAAACATGTTTTATTATTTGATGAAACATGAAAACAGAATGAATATAGATATGCAATATACTATTAAAACTGGCTAAAACAAACAGCAAAAGAAAGAAATCTCTGAAGACATCAAAGATAAATACTTAGACATTGGGCGATCAGGTGATTAAAACTAATGCATCAACAATAACTTTAGCAATCAAAAAAGAAATCTATTACTTTATGTCTTCCATTGAAATATTCAACCAACAGAATCCAAAAAGCGTTTTGGCAGCCTTGTTCGTGATGAATTGATTTTCTTTCCTAAAGCTGATTTCCTACAGATGCAATATTTCTAGCCGCTCGCTGTTCTAACACCAGCAATCGTAAACGGAATCGACTAATCCACATTGCATTCATATTCCATTAGTAAAGAAGAAGTTTCACACAGTCAGCTTCTTTCCCAGAACATTTGCATTGTAGAACTTACTTTCCAGACAATGCTTTCTCGATCGCTTTCCATCGGCTTTCTACTTTATACAAAAGATCTGCGCAACGGTATACTCTGATCACTTGTGAATACCGATGCTGATGACACGGCATTATACTGGTGAAACTCCTGAACTCTAGATGACCAGCGCTTGCCAGTTGATCTCTTCACCGACCTTGCTTTAACAGCTCAATGAGGGGAAACATGACTGATCTCAATGAATGCTTCGAAAATCAAAGTAGTAACTTTTTAAATTTTCACCTATAGTAATGAAGGTCTGTTCAATCGAGGCGGTTTGAGCGTCTATTTGGACTTAAACTCAAGTGAAACTTGTACATATAGCCTATCGCTAAAGATGCCGAAACAAAACAGTCGGTTTCCTGTTTAGCTCCAGTAAGTAACTGACTGTTCTTCAACTTTTAAAAGAGCCAGATCAGGCCGAATATGTATTACTGCTGCAATATATGTGAATTAACAGTTCCAGTACTCTTTGATCTGATTCTAACAAAATATTCCAGCTTCTTAATTCTTTGCTTACCTCTTGGAAAGCATATTTCGGTATCCCAATGCGCCTTCGGATTTCCCGATATTTAAATTTTCATACTTAATTTTATAATTTTTATAAATTTTATACATAATTTTTATAATTTTATTATTTTTACACTAAATTTATAGTTAATTTTTAAAATATTATAATTTTTATTCTGAATTAATATTTAATTTTTGTAATTTTATAATTTTTATACTTAATTTATACTTAATTTTATAAATTTTATTTTATTTTATAAATTTTTAATTTATACTT